CGGTGTAAGGAGACAAAGGACGTTGAAATAAGCACGTATCCATAAAGACTCTTTACCACAAAGCCTTGGAATAGGATTTTTGGCGAATTGGTGAAAGCTCTTGTCCCATTCACGATCGTCCGAATAGGCAGTGCAGAGGGTACTAATTCTCCCGAAATAATTAATAATTATTTTTTATACATTTTTACAAGAACTCTTTTACCAAGGAACTTGTCCGTCTGAAAGAGGATAAGTTTATCAAAGACTTGAGGTTGCAAGAAAAAAAGTTGGCAGTTAATCCTGGGACCTACTAATTTAGTATTAATCTATAATAATGATAATAATATATTGTATTATATTATAATACCATTTTATTTTCTGCCAGAGCAGTTAGACGAATATAAGTAATTAGTGAAAAAAATGTGTTTCAATCTATCGTACACCTCAAATATCATTCAAGAAGGGTCGGATTTGCCTTATTGTGTGACTTTGTGATTCTCGTGGCTGTGTGATGAAGTGATAGAGTGTATCAATTTAAAGGCAACAGGTGGTCCAAAATCCTTTTAGGAGTGCCAATAAGATGGATGATGATAATTAGAATGAGGTTGGCGATACCCTCATTTCATGTGAAAGTGCATGAAGAAGAGACTCGTAGGTAGATCTCATCAGAGAACGATGAGTGATTATCGTTGTACTGCAGCTGTTTGACTTTAATACGAGGTTTAGGTTGACGCAGTCCGTGAGACACTCTCCCTCACATCAAGATTTCTTCCATCATACGGTGATGATCATCAGAGGTCCTACTCTACAATGTTATCTCAGGCGATGCACTGAAACCCAGTCACTTTTCGTATCTGCAATGTTTATGATTATTGTGAAACTGGACTTTTGTCAGGATGATCATAACATTTGGGAGGCTAGGCTAGGTAGGCCTAACCAGCAAAGTTAGACCGACTTATTTTTTTGTCGTAGATTTAACTGTAAATTCTAAAATTATAGATATATTAAACATAGTTTATTTTTCTCACAATCTGATGAGTATACATGCTGTTTATACTCAATTTAACATATCCTTGCTTTCCCAAAAGATGTTTTTTCATCCAGAGTGCACTGCAGCTTAGACCTCGTCGAGGTCTTATCAACAGCCTCAGTTGGAAAGAATATATGACAGTGAAGAGGTTAATCTCGACACCTTAACTACAACGTAACATTTCCATACGTGCCATTGGGTCAGAAGGCAGATGCGAATTGCTAAGAGAGCCAAACATTTTTCAATACCATATTCTTTGGTGGTATTATCGCGGAAGCAAAGTTATATTTCCTATACAAATCGACTAAATTACTTTTTTTTATAAGTAGGGTGTCGAGACTACAGGCTGAATATATCTCATATAACTGACTTATTGGTAGTCTCAAAGCCCTACTTATAAACGAAAAAATATAAAATTAACTTAGACAACCGAGGATAACACAATCTTATACAAAATTTCAGTTTTTGTGACAAATAGGAATTTTGGCTTGATATCGTGTTTGTTCTATTGTGGAAAAGAGGGCAGACTACCATTTTAAAATGTCTTATTTAATCAAAAAGATACCAACTTTTGTAGCGATATTCATGAGGCCTCCATAAATGTAGGCTTCTTCTGGACATACCTTTATAGCTTATTTAAGTGGTAAATGTAGGAAGTATAGAATTAATGGACCAGAAATGTATATAATAATATAATTAATTTGTGATTAATTAATATAATTTAGGATTACTTTAGCAGAATAATGAAACTAAATGCAAGAAGCTGGGATACTAATGTTACCCTTGCGCCGGCCTTTACAATAATAGGTAGACTTATGACGAAGTGGAACAGAAGAAGAATTAGAGACTAAAATAATCTTCGATTATTTCTTCATTTCTATAATATTCATAATGTTACGGGATGATGTAGTCCAGAGCCAAAAGTGTTTCGGATTCAGGAACCTCGAGACTGAGGTCTCCAACAGAATAGACGCAAATTGGCATAAACCATTTAAATTCGTATTTAGACAGTTCGCATTCAAAACATAGCATATGAAATGTGCTAGAAATCCTCTTACACGAAAAAATTTGATTATACGTGTGTCCTTAGGTGGTTATGGCTTCCGCACTCATCTCAAGATCCTCTACTTTTTACATGGGACAAACTAATAAATCCAAAGCATCCTTTTTTCTGGGATCCATGTCAAGTTCAAGCCCATATAATATAATATAATAATTACATTTTAGTTTCTGTCGGAGGAGAATCCTTTCCAGATGCAAATGGTTAAGAGTTCAAAAATATATATACCCATTTGTATTTTATCCGTGGTAATAATGTCACAACATTTGCCTTTTCTGAAGTGTGCATGAATAATTAGGTCAATGCTTAATTGCCTCACTTGATACAACGCTTTTAAATTCGTTTCAAATCTACCTTTATAATAAAATATTCTTATTCAGACAATTTTTAAGTAAGGTTTGTCTTTCAATATGTCAAGATGCCAGGTTAAAAAGCTTTAGATCTTTGACTTAATCTGCCTTTTCATCTCTTATTTCTTTATCGAGTATTTCCAATTATATATATATATATGCCTAAATGTTTATTTATTTTAGCTAGTTAACTATCGGTCCGGCAAAAAATTCTTATAATTAAATGAAACTTTCGAACGTTTACTCATTAAAAAAAGATTTACCTTTTTCTTGTGAAATTGAACTTTATTGGATCAATCGAAAGTTTGGTATATTCCAAGTTTAATAATTTGTGACACGAACTTTCTTAAACTTTCTCTTAATACCATTTGGGTTTCTTAGTAGCTGTTTTGGGCAATTTATTTCAAGACCGATTTTATTGTAACTGACGCATGATGCGTAAGAAGTTTCTTATGCTTAATTGTGTAAAGTTGACGTGTTAATCTTTTGCTGATTGACTGATTGACTTAGAGCAGTTTCCTTTCAATATTTCCCCTTCTTAATTTGGTTTGTATTAAATTAGATGTCTAGTCAGATATTCATTTAATGCCTATGATACATAATTCCTATTTAACTTAAATGCGAGAATGCCACTCTTTTAATTATATAATTCATCCAAGTTTACTTCGTTCTCTTTTTTCTCTAAAACATATTAGAACGCATACCTGTCCTTGCAAACTGAGTTGGAGTAGATGATAAAGATTTTTTGGGTCATAGCAGTTTCTTCTGGTTTCTTGTTGGGCTGGTTGCGAGTATTCTACGCTGAACTGATGAGGACTTACTTAATACATCATCTCATCTCTGATGGACTTCAGTTGCCATCTCGCCTAGTTCTCAACAGTACATTGTTTTATGCTCAAGTATAGGCCTTGAAATCAACCTCAAAAGCATCTTCAGGTCTGTCGGGCTCCATCAATTTCGACCAGGCGTTGATAAAGGCATCGTGATCACAGACTCCCAGGCGATTGATGAAAGAGTATGATTCGGAGTGACTAAGCGCAAAATAAAATGACAATCTGAATGCAGGACTGAGACTTGCCTGAAGTATTGAGAAGAGTGGAAAAAAGAAGAACTCGAACGGATGATAAGTGAACGAGTTCGGGTTGGCCCAGTCGATGATGAAGAAGGCAAGACTGTAGGCAATGATGAAGGCGATAACAATGCCCCAAGTGCCATTACTAAGTACGGTAAACAGGGTGAACATGACTCCACCAATTTGCTTGGGCTTGGAATCGTAGACCAAATTGTACTCATAGTCGTGGTAGGTATTTGTGGTGGAAAAATCTTGGGTTCGGTCGAGGCTGGACGTAAAAGGTCCTACTAAAATATCATAATCCTGAGGGCGAGGGTAGTGGAAAACGAATAAAAATAGGACCGTGGGAAATAATTAGAGAAAAAAATAATAAAAGATCAGCGTTTTAAACATTAGGGACTGAATTTTTAAAAATTGGGGTATAACAGAATTTAGTAAAAAGTGAAAACAACTTCTTGGAATTCAAAGAAAAGTCGGATCGCAAGAGCAGAATAAGCTAGAGATATTCCGAAGAAAAAATGAAAATCAAGCAAATTAGGGGAAGAGAGGCATTCAAAATAAAATGAGAACAAGAAGAATGATTCCAGAGACAAAATAAGTAATTCAAGTTAAAAAAAGAGAAGTCGTAAAATTTAAATAAAAAATATGACAAGGATAATTAAAAAAATGAAAATGTAAGATTAATAAAAGAGAAATTTAATGAAATTAAAAAAATTAAAAGGTCTTAAATAGATGTAGGATTAGAAGATAAAGGATAGGGTAATAAATAATTGAGATGTAAGGTAATAAAATGAGAACTATGTATATAACGAGCATCAATTTTAGTATGTATGAGATTGTAGGATAGGAAATTGTATAATTTAATTAAGCATGATAGGAAGTTTAATGAGAAAAGAGAGGAAATGGGATGAAATAAGATGATATAATGTGAAGAGATGAGATAAGATGCGATAAGATAAGTGGAGATAAGATGAGATA